GGTTCCACCTGGACCGACAGTTCCATTTCTGGGGTTCCACCTGGACCAGGCCAGCTGCAGATTTAACAGCACTCATGGGTTTGCTGGATACTTGCTTCTGGCCGGTTGTGATAGAGAGCTCCTAGTTTTCTTTAGAAAAACGGGCAACACAAAACCAAAGGTGCAGTTTTTGCTGAGCTGAGACTTGAGTGGTCTTGCTACGACGACCCCGCCCACATGGAGGCGGCGCTCTCATGAACTGCGCCGCTCGGAGCGGCTGCGTGTTGCAGCAGCTCTGCTACTTTCATTCTGAGATTTTGCTTTTGGAAACTTTAATTCCTCTTTTTCTGGATGTAAATCACATTTTTTTTGGATGATTGTTTCCTCTGGTATCAGATGCTGAGCAGCTGGAAGGATTTTTACTGAAACGTTTTTAGTTTTGGACATCTGTTATGATGCGTAACCATGGCAACAAGGGGCTTTTTTTTGTTTTTACAACCAGCTGATTAACATCTCAAATACCTCAACTACAGCCCTAAACCTCAAATGAGTTGAAAAGGAGGCGCTGTGGATGCATTCCCATCTCCCTACCGGCTGTGCTCGAGTGCCTGACCACTGAGATCCTGGAAAGGGCAGGAAACGTGGCTCGTGACAGCAGAAGGTCCGGGATTGTCCGCCATCGCCTGCAGCTGGTTGTCCGCAGCGACAAGGAGCTCGGCAGGCTGCTGGGGGGAGTGGCTATCATTCTGGGAGGAGTTCAGCCCAGCATTCAGGTGCTCCTACAGCCCGGGGAAACAGAGGACCGCCGAGTCTGGGTGGACGGAGCAGCAGCCAGTTTCTTCAGATCTGCTGTGACTTTTTAAAGACAGCCTTCCTGCCCACAGCCATCAGCATCTATAACATCTCTTAATGAAACGAGGATAACAACATTTAATTTCCCTTTGGGATTAATAAAGTATTTTTGAACTGAAAGCAAACTAAAGTAGAGCCGGAGGCGGCCGGGGCTGAGCCGACTGAGGCCGGTCCAGGCTTCACAGCGCATACGAGGCTACCGATCTCTGCAAGATGAGCTCAGATCTCCGAGGACAAGATGAGAGATCAGACTGTGGTGGAGAAGGACGGGGCTAAGATGCTGTAGGACTTCCAGCTCCAGACAGATAAACAGGTGATGGTCCAACAAGCGGACATGGTGGTGGTCGAGGAGCTTCAGAAGAAGGCAGAGGTGACAGATGCAGAGATTTAGCTCTAACGTTTAGTTATTATTAGTAGCTCAGACAAACACGTTTTGATCAGTTAGTCGATTAACAATAAATGAAAAAGTCATAAATAATGTGAATTTATTTTAAAATCAGTGTCTTGCGTGAAGACCGTCTAATAAAACCAAATACGATCCAGGACAGCCAGTGTCCCCATTAAAGGATGCAGGAGGTTAAAAGATGGATCCTGTCCCTTTTTGATTCAAACTAAAAAAAACACAACTTTAGTTTTAAAAAGCTTCCAGAGAATCAGAATATAGATTATTGATAACGATGCCAACCTGAACAGTGGTGGGTTTTCAGGTTTGGGTTTGTTCCAGCTGAAATTGAATGGGACTGGAAGGAAGAGCTCAGCGATGCCACCCTGTTCTCGTTTTTCCTCTCCACAAGAATCCAGGTAGGATTTAGGGCCAGGGTCACCAGCCAAGAGGCCAAGATGACTTCCCGATGTTCTTCTGGTTTTAGAAGGGACGTCAAGCTCCTGGTAACCAGAAATGTAGGCTCCAGAGGTACTGGCAGGGCTCCCCACCCTGTTGTCATCCGTCACACTACCCCGGGGAGACACGCCTGGAGTGGGGCTGGCTGAGTGGAGAGGAGAAGGTGAGCGAGCACGAAGGTCAGCGCCGGAGTGGCTTCTCTTTCCACAGGGGGAGGTTGGTCTGGAGGAAGGTCTGACGAAAGAAAGAGCTGGATTAATTGAATTAGTTAAATAAACGCATGTTTCTGGAGACTGAACAAGACTGTGTTTCAAACAGGAAGTCCAGCAGTGGAACCAGCAGAAAATAAAATGTGGTAAAGGATGTTTTCTAACGAACGAACGGAACAATTTCTATGTTCATGTTCAACCAGTTTCCTGAAAACAAACCAGTTGTGTTGCTGGAGCTGCCCCTTTTATTTCACCATGGACAAACCATCACCCGGCTGCTGCTGGACCACTGAACGCTCGTGAAGCTTTCACACTACTGACATCCATTTTTCAGCATCTTTCTCCTCCCGCAGTTTTCAGCTGTTTCAACAAATCACAAATCAAAACGTTCGGCTCTTTCAGGACAACCCTGTTATGACTCTTGGTATTGGTGCAACTTTAGCTTTTTTTTTTAAATTTAGCCTTTTCTGCAATTTCGTTCCTCACAGAAAATGAATTGAGCTCATTTTCCATCCTTCAAATCTTTAGACGTTTACCACCTTATACTGCTCCTTTCACAGTTTGTTCTGCTTCAGCTTCTTTCAGCTTCCTGCTGCAAATTTAAACTATTTTCAGCTACTTTCAGCTGTTTTGTGCTCCCTTCAGCTTCTTTGTTAACTACAACATTTTGAGCTTCTTCTAACTTCTTTCTGATCATTTCAGCTTGTTATGCTCCTTTCAGCTTATTTCTGCAAGTTTTGGCTTTTTCTACTATTTAGCTGTTTTTATGGTATTTTATCTTTTTCAGCTAATTCCACATTTTTTGCAACAATTTGAACTTTTTTCAGCCTAATTCAGAAAAAATGTGCTCTCTCGATTTTTTTCAGGTAATTCAAGCTTCTTTTTGCTTTTTTAGCTATTTTTTAGCTGTTTTGTGCCCATTTCAGCTTTTTTCAGAAAATTTCCACTTTTGGTGCTTATGTCTGCTTCTTTCAAGCTAATTGAGCAAATGTGCGTTTTTCTGCTTTCTTCTGCAAATTTAAGCTAGTTCTACCTTTTCAGCTACTTTTTAGCCTTTTTGAGCCATTTTTAGCTGTTTTCAGATAAATAAAAAAATTTTGTGGTAATTTCTGCTACTTTCAGCCTAATTAACTTCTTTATGCAAATTTTAGCTTGTTATGCTCCTTTCAGATTTTTCCTGCTATTTCAGCTACTATTTAGCCATTTTTGTTAATTTGAGCTTTTTCAGCTAATTCCACTTTTTTTCTCTCATTTCAGCTCTTTCTGCTTACTTCTTGTTGTTTAAGCTTCTTTCTTCCTTTTTAGCTAATTTTTCCAAACATTATTTAGCTAATTTAAGTTTTTTTTTTTTGTTAAATTCCTAATTTTTGTGCTCATTTAAACCTAATTAAGCAAATATGTGTTCTTTCTTTCTTCTGCTAATTTAGGCTTGTTCTTCCAGTTCAGCTACATTTCAGCTGTTTCTCAGCAAGCTCTTCTGCAATGAGCATCCACACTGCATTTTTGCATGAAATGTGATTTCTGTAGTTTTGTTTGTTTGTTGTTTGGGTGGAATGTGGAACTCCTGGATCACTTGTGCACCATCATAATGATTCTGGAGGAAACTTCAGATAACGAACACGTCTGACAAACTTTGAGTTCTGCTTTCTGCAATAACTTTGTTTTTGCATTCTGCTAAATAAGGAGAATGATTTGTTTGTCCCGCAACAGAGGAAACTTTAACATTAAAGAGATAAAATGCTCAGCGTGATTATATTCTCTTTAATAGTGAACAGACCAACTTCAAAGTCAACACTTCGGCGTCTCAAAAAGGATTTTATTCAAACATTTGGCATGACTTCAGTTCAAAACAGCCACTTGATGTTGGAAGACGACGAGGCAGAACACATGATGTCGTCGTTTGTGAGCTTAATAGACATAATAACCTTCAGTTTTATACACGAAAGTAAAGAAACAGGGAACGGTTGTTTAAACATTTCTAATGGGCGGTGCTTCATTATTTTGCGACACCCACAGACTTTGTGCATGTACGTACGTTAAGCTTTGGTCCAAGACTATTTGTGGGTGTTATGGTGCAGACTGTAGGGAATCTGTTGAAGCTATAATATAATACTATAATAATGTAACCCCGTGGTTTTTGTTCATGTCTGTTGAAATTATTAGAGAACTCATAAATAAGAACATGGAGTTTAATATATGTTCAGTTATTGTTTGAAAAAAAAAACCAATGTAACTGTAATATGTGGTTGCTTGGGATTTTATTTTGGTGGTCGGGGAAAGAGGGCTTCCGGTACGAGAGGGGACGTGACGGGAGTGACAGGGAAGATGGAGGACATCACTGTTGCTGTGAACTGTCACTGTTGCCGTGGACTATCGCGGTGGGGGAACACCCCACTGAACTGCTGTTCTTGCCAGTGAGGGGGTAGAAAAGGACTCCCATCGACCTGTGGAGGTTGAAGCTGCGTGGGTGACTAACCCAGTGGAGAACAATCCCGTTAGGTCGCTAGCTCTGTGGCTACCGCTAGCGGGCTTCGGCGAACGGTTGGTGGCTAGCCAGCCGTGAGAGACGCGTGGACCTCGGAGAACGGTTGGCGGATAGCCAGCTGTGTGTAACGCGAGGACCTCGGCGTGGATTCTTCAACCTTGGGGAGAACATTGGACAGAAGCAGACGGACTACGGCACGTACGACCTCCTGGAGAGGGACGTATTCAGGTGATGGGGGACATGGTTGTTGGGGACGTTAATGGGAAGAGCGGGAAGCGCGCGAGTGCACCAACATCAGGCCTGCAACGACCGAGACTAATTTTTAGCTGCCGGCTTTAAGTTTCCTTTCTGTTTAACGAGGTTAATCGTACCAGTTCTATTTCATTACTGACTGAAGAAACTGTGCTATTGTTCATTAAACTGTTTATTTGTTTAAAACGTATGCTTATTCTACTATGTTATACTTCATGGTATAAGTGGTATACATTTAGAATATTCAGGTAGAGATACCAACCGATTTAAAGAACTCGGGTTAGCCACCCCCATAACGCTAAGGACGCTTAGGGGGCGCTACACAAATATTAATATTACATTATAATATGTAATAATATACTTATTATCAAGGTCGAAGTTTGCCCTGCCTCCAAGACCATGCCCTTTGGCAAAAAGTCCCTTTAAAAATAATTAATTAATGTCAACTTCTGTAGTCTGACAAACGTTGAAGTCGGCCATAATTGAACCATGTGATTTTAGATTTTATGGTGGAAACTTAAGTTTTGAAGTCAAGCCACGCCCACATCATACGACCAAAACTCGAGCTTTTGATAACCTTTAATCCCCCGTTCGTAACGAAACACTGACCAAGTCTGAAGCCGACACTCCCGATGGAGAGGTTCTTTCAACTACAACATGAGTAAAACCATAAAATGGCTACTTTGATTAAACGGATGACTTAAAGTTGGGTTTAGGTCGTACCTCCAAGAGACTTTTTGTGTGCCTTAGTCGGATCTACATGTGTAACAATCGTCAGACCTCCAAGTGAGTGTAGGTCTTGGTGGTGCCATAATCGGTGGAGCTTTTGAGCCAATTAGCCACGCCTCTTTTTGAGACCCTCACCATTTTCACTTACTTATAGGGTGTTCCCAAAGTTTCGAGTTTTTTAATATGTTAAAGCCTCTCAAAAGGCTAATGAGAAGGAAAAGGAAGAGAAGCAGAGGAAGGAAAAGATAGTTCTCAGATCACAAAAAATAAATCAAGCCGACTCACCTGGAGGTGGGCCTGTGGTTGAGCAACGTATCCTCGGTGATACTGGTGCGAGGGGAGTGGCTTGGTGACTGCCGGGGCGACTGATGCGGTGACAACACTGGGCTGAAAGGTAAAGGATGCTGGTACTTCTGCTGCCACAGCTCCACCCCAAATGTGCCACCTCCACATCCTGGTGAGCCCAGATCAAGGAGGGCAGCGTCATGCAGCTCTTCGTCTACATTATCGTTAATATGGGAGAAAGACTCACAAGAGGAGAGGTCCGACACCCAGCTCCTGGACGACAAGCTGCTGCAGGGACTTGGGCTGAGCGTTGCCTCCCGATAACAGGCGTCCAGAGGAAGGTAGAGGTGATTTCTGTGCCACGGTGGTTCAACGTACCCCCCTTCTGCACCACCAGCTGCCAAAACCTCCAGGCTACTGCCCGCGTCCACGTGAATGTTGTGACTTATGGAGGTAATCTCAATGCTTGGGCAGTCAAAGGATCTGGGGTTCTCCTGGGGGCCACAGTAAAGCCCCTGAGATTGACAGCCAGCATACTCGTAATCATCTGTGACATGTAAACATGGTGGGGGACTCTGCAGCTCCTGGTTCAAGAGCTGCTCCAGGAAATCCTGCGTGGATTGGTTCTTTATATCGAAATCTGAAACTGTAGGGTGACAGAAAAATACAAAATAAATACACAGTAACATGTAGCTAAAGCCCGACCAGTATATTGGTAAGGCCAATACAGGCGTTTGAAGAAATATCGGTGATAATCGTCCCATCATGTGCCGAGATAAACACTTATAATTTTCACCCCTAAAATGCTGGGAACAAGCCGTGTCCTTACTTGCAAATGACGTCATTGTACAACGTATCCAGCAGGGGGCGCAACTAGACTACATTCAAGTCAAGCAATGCTGCACACTTGACACGGCACAGTCGAGAAGAGGGAGCAACTAAATACAGTGTAGAGTATTTTACTGAGCAGAGCATTGTGAACTTATTTTAACTGATCTGCAAAATAAATCAATAATAATAAATTCTCTTCAAATCTCCAACCTGCTTGTCATTAGCTACGTGCCTCTCAAGTTAGCAAGCTAACGTTTAAATAACCTAGCATAGGCTATTGCCTTGTAAAACTTTATCCAGAACAATAAATTTAACGTAGAGGTAAAATATAAATATATATATATATATATATTTATGTATGTACACACACACAAATCTACCACATAAATCATTATAAAATCTTTATAGTACAACGTATTTATTTATTTTAACCCTTACCAAATGAGCAAACAATGCTAGAGATATTTAATTTTTCTCTAATATTAAATAAACTACAAATACTTCATAATAAAGTTGTGAAGTCAAACAGCACAAAATTTAGAAATTAACATCTATACCTGAAGCCAGTGGGATTAGACAACAATCATTCAGAGACGGGATTAATGAGATTAACTACAAGCCCCGAGAAGATGTGCACTAATATTTACATAATAAAATACCCATACTCATCATCACATCATCATTTTTACACACCATCAAGTACACAAAGAAATAGAAAATACAACTTAACATATCATTTGTATTTGCAGTGAGAAATACACACATTTAGGTTTATTAGGTCAAGAGTTACATTTAGAGACTTTAATTTTTTCCTCATTTTCATTCAATTTTTATCAAAATGTTCTTTTGGTGTCTAAATAAAACGTTAACAAGGACCAGATTGGGCCTGCAGGCCGTGACTTTGACGTTAGTGCATTAGACTATAGGAGCTAAACACAACAACAAACTCTACATATAAATATAATATATAAAGAGGAGGAAGAGGAATAACATTTACATTTTAGAAACAGAACAAATCTACAAACAAACCGTTTAATATTCAGCAAAAGGTGCCGTCATCCTGCAACTGAATAACATTTTTACTGTACCTGTACTTGTCACGTTTACCCTTCTCTAGTCTTTTCCTCCATCCCTACAGAGAGCTTTGACTGGTTATTATTTGTGCATTTTGAGTTGGACCATCCTGCACTGGAGGAGGAGAAGGAGGAGGAGGAGGAGGAGGAGGAGGAGGAGGAGGAAGGGACGCCGGTACAGCAGGGCTGAGCTCGTTATTCTTATATATAGTAGTAGTATTTAATACGCTCTGCGACGCTGCCTGAATCACGGTGAACGACTGTCTCCAGCAGTTCACCCAGTTCGTTCTCACAGCTGCACGCACGTCTAGCTGGGACTATAAATACAACTCGGTCAGACACGCACGCCCACACGGTGTATGCAGAACAGGTGTGAAAGCAGCCGTTGTGACCCGCTTCAGTAGCTCCGCTCCTCCGTCACAAGTTACCCTGAGTAACAGGAACGAGTTGGGCGGGACGCAACAGGCAGGGTCGGCTCTGGGGACAGGCGATCGCCTCGGACGCCATCTGCCAGAGAGGGGCACCGCTGCTGCACATCATTAATAAAATCAATAAATCAATGAACGAATGATAAAAATGCGTTATGGTGGCGCAGTCGGTAAAGCTGCTGCCTCTCAGCGAGAAGGCTGCCAGATCAAATCCCAGCCGGGGGACTTTCTAGGTGGAGTTTCCTCCCACAGACCAAAAACATGCATGTTGGAAATGGGCACCAGTGGCACCAGTGACCCGAAAAGGAAGAAGCGGGTAAAGATGACGGATGGATGGATTTGATAAACTTGACTTTGTGGCACTTTGGCTTTCTTTGTGCTCCGTCTTGAAAGTCAATAATTAAGAAGTACGGGAAACAACCGCACCCCCAATGCCACAGCTGCCCCCGCCCCCAATGCCACAGCTGCCCCCGCCCCTTCCCTCTTTTACTCGGTCGGCCTGGCCCTGAACGGTTCTGCACCCTGCACTCTATGGAGGAGGGGTCAAGTTGCGGTTCGTATTAACAAACGCCAGTAACTAGCCTGTACTTTGTCGTAGTAATTACGTTAACTCAAGGTTCTTTATTCTCATCGCATGTGGTACATGAGGTGGGTTGAAACTGTGCACTCAATAAGAGTTCACCCCGATTTCCTTAATTTTGCGAGATAGGCGATCGGCCGATATTTGCACGAGAAATCGATTTCACCGGTTTTTTGTAGTTTTAACAACAATTGTCTGAACTTCATTTATATTCCAGAGCACTACATCATGGCCAGTTAAAACTAGCTTGTATTGTTTCTAGGATATTGTTCAAAGGTACGTTTTCAATAAAATAAGATGGAAAATTGAAGGTGCATTGTGACCTTATAATTACAAAATCGGTATCGGCAGGTCAGGATCTTTAGAGATCGTGATCGGCCAGAAAACTGCAGTCGGTGCACCCCTAGCTCCCAAGGTCCAGTTACACACAGAAATAGCAAAAATACAAAGTATGAAAAGAAGCAGTACACAAGGATCTAAGATGTGCACGAACAGTAATAATATAATATGATGAGGCGTTTTAAACAGCGGCCTGAACATGAGTCTGTTGTGAGCAGATGGGTAAGAAATCAGCAGCTGATGAAAAGATGAACTAAAGATGAAAAGACCGTTAAAGCCGTGTGGTGCAGCGTAAAGAAGCTCCCAGTGTAAACGTATGCGTCGTCTTCTTTAACATTAAAAAACTTGACAGTCACGAGCTGGATGCTAACTTCAACAACTTAAAGCAGCCCGTGCTGTGCACAGTGTCACAAACTGGAGCGCTGTAACAATCCCGAACAACATTTTTGTGGCGCGTCCACTTCATGCTTTGCTTTGTACAGACATTAACTGGTCCGTCTCCTGTTGGTCCTGGAGAGACGCACTGAAAACACATTTGCAGAAGCTCAAGGACCTTCACTCAGACCTTCAGCTCTCTGAAGAATGCAAGTGTAGCCAATTATTTGGCTTCTATCACTGATGTCATTATTTATTTATTACTGTTACAGTTTAACTTGGTTAATAACGGTACAGTTGTCTCGCTCTACTTCGCAGTTAGACTCCCACAGACTCGTTGTTTCACCGTTTTTAAACGATTGTCAACTTTAATATTCCTCACGTGATTGGGATGGTATGGGATTAAAAAGTTAAAAATAATACTTGGGCCAGGCGCCGCCATGTTGTAGTTTTCTTTCAACACACCTACACTGTAGCACCAGTCAAAAAGAACTACACTACCCAGAAGCCAACAGTGCTTCGGGCCGCTGCGTTCAGCTGAAATGGAGGGAAGGTTTTGCAACGTGAAGTCAGAAGTAACGATCGATGAAGTTCACAGAACTGGCAGGAACGTCTCAAATAATCTCATCCTTCCAGTTGCATCTTCACTGGTGACCTGGGCTGCAGTTCATCTGGACTCCGTGTGACCCGGATCCTGGGGGCTGCAGGGAACAAGACCCGTTCGGCCTGGTTCTGGTCGCGCGGTGCTGGTCCGGACCGGGCAGAGGTGGTGGACTAATCCTGGACAGCCTTGTGCACGGAGTGTCCCTCTTGAAGCGTCAGCACGTGCACATCAACCTGGACGGGGCGGTGGGCTTGTCATGCTGCAGGGTAGCTGAACGGAACCGAGCCCGACCAGAACTGAGCTTCTGCAGAGCTGGGGAGTACTCATGAAATTCTGCAGTAGCTACTGGACTATAAATATCCATATGTTGTTAAAATGACGTGGGTTGAAGAGTTCAGAACATCGTAAGACGTGGGAAGGGTTTATATAAAATATATATATAAATACTAAAACGGCAGCACGATGGCTCAGTGGTTAGCACTGTTGCCTCACAGCAAGAAGGTCCTGGGTTCAATCCCCGGTTGGACCTGGGGTCTTTCTGGGTGGAGTTTGCATGTTCTCATGCTTGTGTGTGTTTTCTCCAGGTACTCCAGAGAAACAAGAAACATTTGGGCTGCCTGTGGCGTCGTCAGAACTCGGAGACCTTCTTGGCACCGTCTGATCGTGTGAATGTTTAGAAATCGTTCTGAGATCCACTTTTTTTAGATATCCGACTTGTTCTGCAACTTTTCAGCTGTCTCAAAACGTTCGGCTCATTCTGGACATTCCTGCTGTGAATTTTGGTATTTGTGCAATTTTTACTTGTTGAAACATTTAGCTTTGTCGGCCATGTTTTTCTCATTGAAAATGAACGGAGCTCTCCACATTCTTTAAACTCTTTTTGCTGTTTACAACCTTCAGCTTTGGTACTGGTTCAGCTCCATTCAGCTAATTTAAACTTTTTATGCTCGTTTCAGCTTATTTCTGATAAGTCAGCCTTTTCAGCGAGATACTTTTCTGCAAATACTTGTCTTTCTTGTTTATTAATTTGCTCAGTTCTGATTTTTGTTCTCCTTTCTAATCATTTTAGGCTCCTTTCAGCCTCTTTCTGATCATTTCAACTTTTATTTTTAGCTACTTTTGTTGCTAATTTCAGCATTTTTCTGCTCATTTCAGAGTGTTTTTTGATCGTTTCAAATTTTTTTTTGTAATTTATTCAGAATCTCTGCCTATTTCAGCATGTTCTTCTCATTTCTGCTCTATTCAGCTTGTTCTAAACATTTCTGCCGTTTATTTTGCTGCTTTCAGCAAATGTCAGCTGTTCAACTCAACTCACAGTTCAGCGATGAAAACGTTCGGCTGGTTTCACCTTCAGCAGCTTTCTGCAAAAATCCATGCATCCATCCATCCACCCATCCATGCATCCATCCATCCATGCATCCATCCATCCATCCATCAATGCATCCATCCATTCATCCATCTATGCATCCATCCATCCATCCATGCATCCATCCACCCATCCATCAATCCATGCATTCATCCATCCACCCATGCATCCATCTATGCATCCATCCATTCATCCATCTATGCATCCATCCATCCATGCATTCATCCATCCATCCATGCATGCATTCATCCATCCATGCATCCATCCATCCATCCATGCATGCATCCATCCATCCATGCATTCATCCATCCATGCATCCATCCATTCATCCACCCATCCATGCATCCATCCATGCATCCATCCATCCATCCATCTATGCATCCATCCATCCATCCATGCATCCATCCATCCATGCATGCATTCATCCATCCATCCATGCATCCATCCATCCATCCATGCATCCATCCACCCATCCATCCATGCATTCATCCATCCATCCATCCATGCATCCATCCATCCATCCATGCATCCATCCATCCATCCATGCATCCATCCATCCATCCACCCATCCATGCATCCATCCATCAATCCATGCATTCATCCATCCATTCATCCACCCATCCATGCATCATCCATGCATCCATCCATCCATCCATCCATCCATCCATCCACCCATCCATCCATCAATGCATCCATCCATCCATCCATCCATCCATCCATTCATCCACCCATCTATCCATCCATGCATTCATCCATCTATCCATGCATCCATCCATCCGGGTCATTGGTATACAAATCTAGAAGCAGTGTTTCCCTACCATTATACAAGCAGGGAACACCACCCTGCTTACCAAACCAACCCCCCCCCCCACCTCCACCCCTCACCGGCAACTGCCAGCACCGATGTAGCGCTAAGCTAGCTTTGCCCTCCCCCAAAATAATTCAGCAACGAGCATTCGCACTGCATTTTCACAGGAAATGACATTTCTCTAGTTTAGTTTTATTCAGGTTCAGTTTAGGATGTCGGGTTAATTTTCTTCTTCACATCACCATAGCAACTGGTGCAGGTTTAACGTGTGTCCTATCGTGACCTTTAACCTGCTGATTGAGGCTCGTCGAGCCTAAAGGCTGATGAGAAGGCCCATTCTCGAGTCTCGCTGACGTGGACACGTTACGAAAATTGTGCAGTTTTCTTTTCTTAACGCCTGTTGACACGTCGTCTTGTGCGTCGCCACCAGTCAGAACCACCTGGTAGCTCTCACAGAACTATGCTGCGAGTGTTGTGTGATTGGTCAGAACTTCATGGGCGTGTTTGTTTACGTAAAGCGTCTGCAGTCAGCTGATCTCAGAGCAGCGTCTGCTGAGGAGCAACTGGCCAGGGCTGTGTGAAAATGCAGCCAACGTTAGAACTGCTCCAGTAAAAACTATAAAGATAGTCAAATAAAACTCCAGATAGTAAAAGAGCTTGTGGAAGGAGAAAGAACAATTCTGTGCAGGCAGGAGACAGCGTGGAGAACCGGTGGAGAACCGGTGGGACTCCATGAGCGGGAGGGAAGGGCACATTCCTGCATCGTCTCTTGGAAACGGCGGCGGCCTCTTTGTGACAAATTTATAAAATAGCACTTCTCTTTTAACAACAGAAATACCTGATCCTCCTCCTCCGACATCACCTGAAAATAAAAATCCACTCCGACAACAGCGCCGTCTGTGATGAATCCCATGGCACGTGACGTGCGCTGCAGAGGGAGGACTTATCAGGATTTATAATATCACATTCCTTCTTCGCAATTCTCGTTTGAGTATGAAAAGTTTGCAAGAAAACGACAGTCTGCAATAACGTCAGTGAGTGTTGCACAGTCTGACCTTCAGGGTGCAGTTACTCCTGGGAAGATTGGCACATATCTTATTAAATACTGAACATTTTTCTCCATATCTTTGACCATTTGCAGACTGATGGGCAGCAACAGTTGCTTCTCTTAAGGTCATTGCTGATGTCTCTCCGCCTTGGCGTTGTGCACAAACACCTGCTTTTATAGAGGTGGTCCCATAGATGTTGATCAGCTAATCATTATATTTGATTAGCGGTCCCGGCTGGTACTGAACCTCTGAATTCTTGGGGAAGCCATGAGGATGGAGCGATGATTTCACACAATGTTGGTGTTATTTTATTCTTTTCAGGTTTTGTTGAGTAAATAACGGCATGACGTAAGATATGTGGCGTCGTTGCCTACATTTAGGACCTACCACAGATAAGATATATTAATAGTAAATTATCCAACAGCCAACTTTTAAGTACATTCTTGGTCAAAAACTCACGGCAACTACACAAAGAGTGAAATTCTGCCAAAATAAAAGCTCAAACTGCTAAGCTACAGGAGTTTATTTCACCTCTCATTTTAATTTAATTTAATTTAACACCATCACTTGTACATAAAATAAAACAGTGCATCTTATAAAAACTGCTCCAAGAGTAAATGTTAAGCAATGACGACACAAAACCATAACCGCTATTAATTGTTAAAAACGTTTAAGTACTATTTTCTAAAATTGCGAATATTTGTGTGTTGTATTTAAAGATCAACGTGTAAAACAATTAATAATAATGTGGAAAGTCGACACATTTTCACGTCTTAATTTTGAAGCGCAAACAGACCAACTTCCGGTTTGGTCTCGTAGCTTTTGGTCGCTAACTCCATAGATATCGCTAACTCGTTGAAATGACGCGTAACTGTTTTTACCGCGCTCCTCTCGGCTCAATGCAACATTCAGACCCTCCGCGCACTTTTTCTACACGAAAGCATCTTGAAACATAATAAATAAATCTTGAAACATAATAAATAAAGCGCTGAAAGGAACCGAACTAACCTGTGTCACTCACTTCCATCAGACTGAAAGCAGAACTCCGTCGAACCGAGGCGTCAGCAGCAACTCGGCGACAGAAACGAACAACCAAGAGTTGTTTCCCGACACCTCGGCGGCAGATAAATACTTGTGTGTCCGCGGAAATTCAAAATGAAGTCCACTTTTCATCAAACTTTCCGCCGCGTCCGTGAAGTGACTTCTTCAACTCCGCCGCTGTTTCATCCTGCTGCTGCGTTCAGGGAAACTCGGAAACTACAGCACTACAATCAAGGCTCGGATTAAAGTGAAACTACAGTTAGTGTTAAACTAAACTATTTGTTTATTAGTTAGAATTCAACAGTTATTAGCAAAACATTAGTGTTAAATTACTATTTTTAAATAGTTTGCATAGATTCCTTTTATTTAAAATATAAGCCTTTTTTTAACTGGTAATGTAAATACCAAGGGGTGTGTGTGTGTGGCCTGGTTCTTCAACTTTTTGGGTTCAGGGACCCCCTCATATTCCTCATGTTTATTAAATAATTGTCTTCAATTTGTCTTTTTAATGCATTGGAAATATGTGTGTAACATAAATACCTAATACCTGTTCTTTAAGCGTTAATACAATTATTATACTTTTAAACATGGGGTATTTTACATTTAAGACGTACTTAAGAAAATGTTTAATCTTAACTTCCAAAAATTAGTTTTGGAAAATTAACAGCATCAAAAAACACTTTAAAACTTCACGTAATGAAGTGTTGTTGTTCGACAGAATGTTTTTATGTTATTAGTGTATTTTTAGTTTGTGTTTCTTAGTTCATATCTTAGATGTTTTCATCGTTTTTCTTTTACATTTTATTGTTGGATGTAACTGGGACCCTGTGTACATAATTTCGCTCCACCACATGTACCACATGAGGTGCGAATGACAATAAAGAAACTCTGACTCTGATAAATTTATTGCCACTTCTTCAAATTATCACAGAAAACTCTTTACTTAAAACTGAATCACAACAGGAGGAGTTATACCAAGTAACACGGCTTCATTTGTGAACGATCAATGCAGGAAAGTAAATTTGGGGGTGGGGTTTATAAAACCTTAAAATAAATATAGTTTCTACTTTGTTTTTTCACCTAACGCGGTGGTGTCTGGAACGTGACCCCCGCGATAACCCAGGGTCTACTGCAACTTAATTCCCAAACTCAATTCTAACAGAAAAAAGTCCTCAAGATGATCAGAAGGCTTTAACGGTGTAATGTCAAAACATTTATCAGCTCACGTCGGTCATTAGCAGAACCAGAGCGGAGATCTTCAGTGAACTTTGATTTACACAACTGTGCAAGTCTCGATTAATTTCCGTCATCTTTCGTCTCTTTCTTCCAAGCACAGACGCACATGAAGTCTTCGTGTGGCGGAGTCAGACCAACAGTTCTCCAGGCTCGTACTGAACAACGTTTTACCTCCAACCTTATTTACACACAAAGTGGCTTCTGCACTCAGGGGGGACACCAAAGTTGTGTCGACACAGATCAGTTTAAAATTTAATCCTTAGTCCTAATCAGCCTGTGACAATCTGTTTCCATTTCTTTTGTTAATCCATGAAAAACAAAAAAAAATAACAAAATATTGTCATGAAATAGGATTTTAGCTCCAACAAGCCAAAGAGTTGTTAACAAAAACATCTTTTTGAGCTTCATGCTTTAATAAATTAGAATTAAGTGCAGCGTTTCTGTGTCAGTCAGGGAAAGTTAAGAATTTTTAAAGACGATTCAAATTAAAAGACCAGCACATAAAAATACGGTCATTGCAAAATAACAAAAAAATAAATAAAACAATTCTAAGTTGTAGATCTGATCTTTCATTCAGATTCGATCCAAATCATTAAACAAATCGGTTTCAGGAGCAGGGCGGACAAACGCGTGTCTCAAAGTTATTTCAGCATCTTCAGACAGAACTACAGAGGGAATGATCTCTCATAGAACAAAAACTAGTTTTTGAAAAAAGCAATGAACAGTTGCAAGAAAAAACTACTGTACTTTCATTTTGTGACCTAAAATTAAAATAATCTGGACTTATTTGTGTTTATAAGGATTACAATCGACTTATGAATTCTTAAGACCCTGCAGAAACTATAAGCCAAAAAATAAATAGAATAAAAATCAGAAAGGGAGAAGTGTTGCCCACGTTGAGAGAGTACAGAAAGTCTGGCTGCTTGCAAGAAAAACATGAAGAAATGAAGACTGGGTCAGAACTTTTGCACAGAAACATGTACGCAGATCAAAATAATGCTCTTTGTATCCACGCGGTTATGGTTTTGTGAAACGACGGACGGGTCAGAACCTGAAACTGCTTCCAACAAAAACTTTGTTCTTCTCGCCGTCTGGCTGAGCTGACAGAAAAAGACGCATCGGCTCCAGAGTTCAGCAGCTGCTGTTTGGAAGATGCACAGGCAGGACACGACGCGGGTCCAAAACACCGTTTCCAATACGACCAGTATCTTTCCCAGTGAAAGTTCTGTCCCAAACTAATCAGAGCGTCTTCATCTGAGGCGTGGCGTAGTTTTGATTTTCACCGTTTGTCCCTACAGCCGGTTCTGAGCTTCCCACTTCCTGCAGGACGTCGGCGACATGCAGCTTCTTGCTCCTGCCTGAAGGCGCGCCCTCCCTCTTCCTCTTGCACACCAGACCGGAGTCTGCCTCACCGATGCGACCCTCTGGGATTCCTAAAACTCGCAGGCAGACAATGGCAGACGCTTGCTCTGCAAACTTTTTGGACTTCTCCCTGTTAGAAACGAGACAAAATAAATTAAATAATTATCAAGTCCCTGTCGAAGCATGACTAGAAGTATGACTAGACCTGCCGCGATAAACAAGAAATCAATTAATCGCACGATAAATTAAAATTATCGACCTCATTTTCATTTATCGGCTTTATCGTTTCTTCGTGTCTCTTTCTGAAGACACTGGAGGACAAAAGCTCAACTCCGGTGCTCTTCATGGACTCCTCCCTTTCTCTTTTCTCGTTAAAATCTGTTTCAATCGTCCAAAATTGCATTTATGGACGGTTAAAAGCAGCTAAGCCGAGACGCTAAGCTACGAGCTAAGCTAACAGGCCGACCTCGGGAAAAAACCTCCGTCTTGTCGAAGCTCCAAAATTCACGGTTGAAACTCGTGCCTTCGTGTAAAAAGTTGTTTTTCTCTGCAAAAAGCAGCTGAGAACTTGTTTACCAATTTTTTAAATTAAAAGCTTTGTGTGAAAAATGCTAAAGAGCTCAAACCACACTGAGCGTCCACCATTTTGAAAACCGAAGAGAGACAGCCCATGTCACGTCAAGGGGCCTCCCTCTCATTTTTCTTAGAGACGCTGCTCGCTCCCTCACTATTCATCCTTCATTTCAGATGATCTTATACTGACATCTGGTGGTCAAAAAAAGGTACTACACTCAAAACAAATTAAACATTTCTTCATAAATTTGACAATAATTACTAATAATTACTAATTATTGTCAAATTCCAAACAATTTTATTGTTTATCGCAATAATTTCGGAGACAATTAGCAAAATTTGTTATCGTGGCAGGCCTAAGTACGACCAAAAGTTTTTAATGCCCACGTTAATTTATATAGCACATATAAACAACAGAAGATGACCGAAGTGGTCTACAACTTGGTCAAATGAAAATATAAAACAGTAAATCAAAGAGACAAGAAGTCTGACGTCATTTAAGGAAACAAATTTAAATAAAATACTGGAACACACCAGAAAACATCAAACTCTGAAACAAGCGCCGGGGACAAAAGATGGGTCCCGTGAGCAGATTTAAAAGCCTTGATGATTCTTGAAGATGCTCGACGTGGATTGTGATTCAGTTTGTTAGAACATCCATTGAGTCTAGTCAAAGTGACTGCTGGACACTGGCAGCAGCAACCAGGAAATGAAGGTGGGAAGAGATGAAGCATGGATGATGGACTGATCTAGTCATGAACGTCAGTGCCATGGTTCCAGGAGAAAACTTGTGTGTACTAACCACAGAG